TATATAATTAATGTATTTGGGCAGCAGTGCCTCTTTTATACAAGTTTTGATAAAAACTACTGACAAGGTGCAGAGGTTAAGCTTTTTATTTACTTTTTCTTGTGATTTCATACTTTTTTCTGGGCATACATTGTTTCAAGTCCTAGTCATGACGATAAACTACATCCGGTAGCAACGTCTCTGATCGGGAGATTGATGGTTCTGACTAGTGTGGAAGCACCTGTTAATTACTGTTTTTTCCCACGGGTGTTATCATCTGTTAATATCTCATCTATGGGCAAATACCAAACAATACGATAGAATGGAAGTAAAATTTGATGGTGACGATGCCACCAACAATATATATTTAGAGTAAAATTGCCAACAATTTATTTTAAAGCAAAATAACCAGCAATGCATTTTATAGTGGGAATAACCAACGATACATGTTATAGCAATGTTACGAACGATAATTTTTTCTTTGTAGTTGAAGCCATAAAATTATGTTGAAAATATTTCGATTTCGGGATTAAATAACCCCTAGAGATCGATATGCAACTAAACGAAATCAACCAAGCATAAATTATGAATAAACTTTCCAATTGCTCTGTTAGCCATTATTAAGAATGTTTTTTTGTTTTAGTTTTTATTTTTAACTTAATGTTTTTTATCGCTTTTTCTATTTATTAATAGTACCATTATACCTTCATCGATAATACAAATATAATAGCCTTATCCACATGCAATCATTATTAATGAAATAAAAACGAATACAACAACCCCAATAACATATAAACATATACTATAAACACGGCCGCAATGTGTTGACCGTGTTTCGAAAACAAAACATCCTTTTTATGGGTTAAAATGCTCAATGCCAAGGGTAAATATAGAAGTGGACATTGAAAGCGTAGAAAACGTAGAAAGCGTAGTTTTTTTGCTTAAATCTTTGGCCAAAAGATGTGCTGAATCAGGAAACAGACTGTTGCCTCTGGATGTTGACTTTAGTGTTCAATTTCTATATATGCTGGAATCTCCCGTCGTTTTTCGACGTATGAAAGTCAAGCAACTCAGTTCCTAGGAACCGACAGTCAGTCTGCATATATGATTTGATTATAGTGATGTCTTTGTGCTGAGCCAACCACACTTATTGAAGAGCCGAATACAGAAACCTGGTTCACCACGTGCCTCAAAAATCTTTCCGCAGGTTTTGAATTCAGAGTTGTCCCTCTCCTAAACCAGTTGCCATCCAAGGCTATAGAACCCAATCGGTCTGGGGGAAGAAGAATAGAATTCATACCTTTCCAAAGGGTATTAGCACGTAAGTGAATGTAATGGATTTGGCTGGAATTCGAACTCCCCGATTTCTCAGTTATATTAATTAGTAAGAGTTAGTAATTACTTACACACACGCTACCATGGTTTCAAACATTAAGGCCTTTTCAGGTGCTGGATGCTAGTTAATTTCCTATTGTTTCCTTGGCTTATTTTATGTGCGCACAGCAGGTATTGTTATAGAAAGGGGGAGTGAGACAATAATAGGGATGTAGGCTGGAATGGTGACAGAGTAAAAAACACGCACTCTCATACGGGTTCGTATAGACCCAATATATACTTTTTAGCGTGTCTACAGACATACATAACTTCAGTCCTTTCATTAAAAGCTTTTCTTGGTCTGGATACATTACTATTGCTAGTTTTCTTCCTGGCAGAGATGATCTAGAATTTTTTCAGTGTGGAGGAGATAATGTCTACATAATATGAACACAGAGCGAGCGGTTTATTTTTCAAGATTTTTTCTTTATTATTCACACATATGGCAGGATCTTTCTATTTGTTCATTACTAAATGACAAAGCCCAGTGAATTCAAAAGCATTTCAATCCGACTCTATCGTCTGCCATTTTGTTCACAGATACGCTAACAAAAAGGAAATATAGTAAAAGGCATAAATAAATGTCCCATTGAAAAAAAAAAACAGAATATTTGTCGATTCTTTTACTTTTACAACGTCTCATGAGACGGCTACTTCTTACTCCATCCCTTACGATCGAGAAAATGCCGAAAGCTTTCTCGATTTATTACACGGTTTCTTTATCTCTGATATAAAACATTTATTTTATTTTCCATATGATATATATTCACATCTCTTCAATGATTCAACAATAAGAAATAGTCCAGCTCCTAATTTTGGAAATATTGTCTGTATTTGCTTTGACTTTTTTCTGCCATTGTTGTGACTCGAATGTTGTCAATTCGAGATTATCTGATATTATCTGCTGCGTATATTCGGGATTATATCTTATTGAAGTGAACTGTTATCTATCTATCTATCTATCTATCTATCTATCTATCTATCTATCTATCTATCTATCTATATCAGTTCACACGTAATACTGTCAATCTCTATCTATCTCAGTGCATATGTAATACTGTCAATATCTATCTATCTATCTATGTCAGTTCATATGCAATACAGTCAATATCTATCTATCTATATCAGTTCATATGTAATACTGTGAATATCGATCTATATCAGTTCATATATAATACTGTCAATCTCTCCTCTCACTATATATATATATATGCCTATATATACCTATATATATATATATATATATATATATATATATATATATATATATATAATTTTATTGGCTTCATATCTGTCAGTTTGTTCATATCTATCTATCCATCTAGCTTCCTATCTGAGTTCATATCTATGTCAGTCTGCACATATTTGTCTTTCTATCAATCAATCGATCAATCAATAGATCTGTACTTTTTAAGGTTTCATCTTACTTAACACAAATGCCTATATCTCCCAGCATTTATTAATATGGACCCGCGTGCACGCATCACGGGAGTACAAAATGAACGCATGTAGAGACACGTTGTGCCATCTTTTCAATTCTCCTGCAGCTTCTCATTTTTCCGCTCGAATTTTCACGGATAATTATTTTAAAGTGCTTCTCTCTATTCTTCGACTTTGATCATGTCAATATCTTACTGCTTTCTTATTTTTCGACTTAACGTATTCTTTTTATAGAAGGGAAAGGAAGAAGAAGAAGAAGAAGAAGAAGAAGAAGAAGAAGAAGAAGAAGAAGAAGAAACTAACTGTAATGAGTGATTCGTAAGCACAAAGGAATTGGCGAATCTAAAGACACAAGAGACGTTACAAAGGAGAGGTCTGTAGACGTCAGCTTGACGACTCTCTAAAGCAATTCATTTTGCGACAAAAAATGCTTATTCCCAACATTTGCAGCTTCATGTCACAGTAATAACGTAATTCAAGCCGCTCCAGTTTGCAACAGATATCTTTCATATAATCAACAATTTAAGCAGTATTCAATGCATTCAGTTTCTTTTTTGGGTAAATACTTCATAATATTGGTTCGATTCAAAGAAGGGTCTATTTCATGAAGTTACACAAGATTCAAATTTCAATGTAAATTATAATTATCTCATACAAATAACAGTTACATTATGAATTTCAAACACAGTCCATTGTATATAATATATGATGGTCAACAAGCTAGAGCCGAGTGTTCCATCCACATAATGATCGTCGCTCTTTGCAGGAGGAAACGCCGCCTGATCTGGTATGTTTTGGCTAAGAGGCTACAAAAAGATTCACAATCAAACATGTTTCTATTTGCGTTTAAATTTTCGTGTATGACATATCTGCTCTGATTCGAATCCGTAACATAAACAAAGCAATTTTTACAAGAGAAGGACGCAGTTTCCTGTCCTCGCAAAGAGCATATTTTATTAAGTTTTCTCAATTAGACAAAATATAAATACAGTTTTAAAAGACGAACACTCTACTCAAATACATGTATGCAATAAAATGAGGTTTCAAGTAATATATATATATATATATATATATATATATATATATATATATATATATATGAGTCTTTTTTTAAAACTGTTTTAATAGACGAACCCTATACTCAAATACATGTATCCAATAAAATAAGGTTTAAAGTAATATATATATATATATATATATATATATATATATATATATATATATATATATATAAAATGTATATATATATGAGATTTGGTCTTTTAAAACTGTTTTAATAGACGAACCCTCTAATCAAATACATGTATCTAATAAAATAAGGTTTCAAGTAATATATATATATATATATATATATATATATATATATATATATATATATATATATATATGAGGGTTGGTTTTTAAAACTGTTTTAATAGAAGAACCCTATACTCAAATACATGTATCCAATAAAATAAGGTTTCAAGTAATATATATATATATATATATATATATATATATATATATATATATATAAAAATATTTAAAAAAAATCCGTAGCTAAGTAATGCAAGTAGATTCTCTTAATATAAAATATTAAATCTGATCCATAAAAGTGAATTCAATAAAAGTATTATTATAGACCATATAAGGGTCCATTTTCAACTGTCACATTTATCTGTACCATGTGTGTGTGTGTGTGTCTGTGTGCAAGTATAGGATTGGTGTATACGGAACATATTCCAATAAAATTCAAAGAATAGTATTGTTAATAGAGTGCTCAATAGACAGTAGATCAAATATAATTTATTTGAAAATTATAACTATATATATATATATATATATATATATATATATATATATATATATATATATATATATATATATATATATATATATATATATATATATATATATATATATATATATATAAATTTATGTCTTAAAAGTTATTTGTAATTTATTTTAATGGATACATATATTTGAATAGATGTTCTGGTTTTATGTATTTAGTACACAGTTTATTTGTTTATTTATTTATTTACTTCATTAATCTGAATATTCGATACATCCTTGTTTCACCAGGAGGTTATCCGTGGCTGAATGGTCAAGGTACGTCAGATCTATTGACGGTTTCCCTAGATTCGACCTGCAATATGATGAAATGAGGCAATTCAAACATGGCAAAAGAGCTTGTACGTAATTTCTCCAGGTCGGTTATACGTGATCCCATTCACTGATCGATTACCATGATCGAGAAAGACTGATTCCCTGTTAAGGATTGAACTCCGAATCTAGGACTTTTACGTTCATTTTCTATGAGTCGAGTGCTTCTACTATAATGTATGTTGTAATTAAAGAAACACAGTACAACGATTGTGAGTGAAATGTACGCTGTCGGAGATGAGATGTTGAATACTGAAACATTTATTTTTATCTTAGTAAGTTTGGATGGTAAAGTCTGTTTGAAATTAAAGATCAACAATTATTTTTAAGTAGCCTCGTAGGTCGAGTAGGAGACAGGTGAGAATATAAGGCGTTGGAAAATTATATTTTATTTTAAAATTAGTGAATAAAAGTACAACAAATGGCTGTTCGTTTGCAAGCATTTAGTAAATTAATCATATTCGAAGAAATTAAATGTATTCGAATAATTTTAAAATATTCTAATTTTTTTCTAAACCTCTCTTTCTTGGCAGGCCTTCAAATATAATCTATCAAAATAAACTGCAATCCGTTAATGGTGTGAGATTTTCTTGTTCAAAATTTAGAAAATGAAACAATGGAAAACTTTGGAAGAGCAACAGAGGAAGATGTCGGTCGGTAAATATCTATTTTGAATAACTCGACAGTCAATTGATCACTAGTCACGCGGAAATGTTTCTTTTCTTTTCTTGGCGGGGAAGCAATCCATCTCATCAATGAGCTATTTCAGCATCACTCTCTACTGTTCAAATTTAATTCACAGATATTTCCAATGTCGAAATATGTAGATGAGGAAGATGTGCTGAAACATTTTCAACTTGACCTATTTTTCTTAATTCAAATAAATGACCAAATAGTAAAATCTATTTGGTGTCCATTCTTAACCAGACTGTGAACTTTTTCAGCACTCCCAGGTAAAAACATACATAACAAAAACATACTACTACTACTGCTGCTACTACTACTACTACTAATAATAATAATGGTGAAAATAAAATGTCTTTGATCTAATTTTTTTTGCTTTTGACAATAATCTTTAGTAAAAAATGTCATGAAGCCTTTACTGGCCTTAGAATTCTGGTTGGCACCCGGAAGGAAATGTGCGTAGAACGGAAATCAAAGGAAATAATAATAATAATAATAATAATAATAATAATAATAATAATAATAATAATAACTGATTATTATCATAATAATAATAATTGATTATTGCCACAATAATATTATTGATATTATCATAATAATAATCATTATTATTGATTAACATAATAATAATAATAATAATAATAATAATGATACTTTATTAATATCACTCTTATTGACGTCGGCAAGTCAAAGATTTTAGGTTTTGGCCGATGACATTCAATGTTTGCGTTACAATATGTAAGATTTCTTTTCTTTTTTTTTTTAATTTTAGTCGATTTGACTTTAACTTAATTTTTTTTTCTTTTCCTTTTCATTTAGTTTTATTTTCTTTATACTGATATTTCTAATTTTATATTTTTTAAACTTTTTCCTTACTTCCAGCATAACTTTCTGGAACTGAATTCCGCACTTCATCAAAGGATAGTGTACTTTATCGATGTTTGCATATGTGTGGATGTATACATAAATACATATACATATATATACATATATATATATATATATATATATATATATATATATATATATGTGTGTGTGTGTGTGTGTGTGTGTGTGTGTGTGTGTGTGTGTGTGTGCGTACACAAGTACGCCCATGGATAAGGATCGTATTGGCAGATTACCCATTTTTCTTTTTCTTTTCATAGTAACTCCGAATGTATATCCCCCTAGGACCTTTCAGTTTTTAATTTCCAATGTGATTCATACTAAGTTAATACTAAGTAGAGTCAATACTATTTCCATATCCCTATGTTACCATCCTGAATGCCAAATACTAGATTTTTAACTGTCAAACCCTTTATATAGGAATATAACTGCCAAGTTACATGAATCGGACGAGCTCTTTATTCTTTGTAGACAGTCGTCCCAGAGCTGGTATCTTGAAAAAAATTAAACCTTGGCTGTCAAGGTTAAAACGTGGAAATGACATATATTCATACCGGATCAGACATCACCCGGGTAAATAATGGCTGCGTGTCTCAGAGATGAAACAGTCTTGGCCGAAAAATCTATCACTGGAACAAACTTTTCCAACAACTATGACTCACCTGGTCAGTAAACCCGGACTATTTACAACCTTGGACTGACTCGATTCTAAATCAATTAATAAAAAGATAGCGAACAAAATGGTTTCACGAAGAGTTTCAACAATTACGACATCCTTTTTCACCACACCCAAAAACAAAAAAAGGTCATCAAGGTCAGGTATGCCAAATATAGAGAACCATAGCAGGAACTTTTATAAGACCCAAACATACTTGTCAATCTGCGCAGGATCATCGTGCGTAATAAAAGAATTTCAAATTCAGAAATAGATCAGAGAAAACTAAATATAAAACCTTATACAATAAACTAGCACTAAAATAATAAAGTGATGAG